TTTATTAAGAATATATTTATTAACGAGGAATAGTATATATAATATGGATAATATTAAATTAGTGTTTGATTTAATTAGACTAATTGCAATAACTCTATAGTGGCATTTGATTCCTAATTTCTTAAATGTATACTGATATATATAATGTGTATTATATATTATATATTATATAAAAATATAATATAATATATACTATATATATAATAACATGTTGATCGTCATGTAACTAAAATCAAGTCCTTCCTCCTAGATGAAAATGTTATGTAATTGTGGGTACTCCGTGTAAATCTAGAAACAGAAAAAACTCAAAACTAAATCAATTCACTGGGAAAAGAAACAGTATGAGTATAAGTGCATTTATACAAGGTGAATTTCAGTCCTAGGAGAAACACCCACGATTATTTCATAGCGATCAACGTGTTAATTAAAACTCTCAATGAATAGTTTTGGAACACAAATTGTCCGTAGAAATAAAAGTTATTTGAATTATAGTCATAAAAAAGAAATACGCATCCCATTAATGAAGAAGATGAAATATATCGTTAGTAGTATTAAAAACTAAATTACTTAATACTACAATTAGCATTTATTAGTATTTCGTACTATAGAATTAGGAAATATAATACTATGCATATCGTAATAATATTATAGAAAGAACAAAAAAAAAAGAAAAACAAACAGTACTTGTGTAATAAAAATTGTAAATCCGCTTGTCTTCTTGTTAGAAGTCTACAAAGAACATGTAGAAACTTATGTATAATGTGTAATAGTCCGCCGCATTTTAATGTGAACCTCCCATATTGTACAAAGAAACAAACAAAAATATATATATATATATAAATCTACATTTAAAAGATGTTATTTTAGATTTTATACAAAAATCATTTAAATTTTTAAATCATTCATTAATATTTAGCGCCTGTGTGTGTTTGGGTAAGTATATTTCTTCGATTAATTACCAGATAGCGCTTCAATGATCGAAACACCATCTACCGTAATTTTTATTAAACTTCTTATCATTCCCTAATCAACTCGATAACTGCGCAAACGCAACCCTGACACATGAAAAAAATTTTCAATACCGCATGGGACGGTTACACCTGTTTATGTGTTTAGATAAAGAAATGTTAATTATTTAAATTATTTATATTAATAGAGTAATTTAATGTTATACTAACTAATGTTTTTATATTAACATATATAAACATATTTTTTAAGTCATAGATTATTATTATTTATAAGTTATAATGCGCAACAAATCAACTTTATTTATCTTCCTCATTGTTTTCACCCTTAGTGAAATCAGTTATGTTAAATGTATTCAATCTAATCCTAATAAAAGTGAATTGCAAGCTGAAAAGTATCCACCTTGTGCAGCTTGTAAAATACTAGTTAATAGTTTTAAAAGCGTAAGAATGATTTTTTCTAACTAATTATATTAATAATTCTTACATTAATTGTTTATTTTCAATTAAAATTTAATAATATAAAAGAATGCGTAATTTAAATGCCTCTACAAGTGTTCTTTTTTGTAGGGTTTAGAACGTACAAGTCGAGGAAAATTTGAAGGTGGGGATAGCGCATGGGAAGAGGATAAATTAGGTTCTTATGCGAGAAGTGAAGTACGTCTTATTGAGATACAAGAACATTTGTGTAAGGAAGTAGAGCGTGGTAAAGATCAATGCCATTCAATAGCAGAAGAATTAGAAAATAAGATAGAAGAATGGTGGTTTAAACATCAGACCACTTACCCGGATATATTTGATTATTTATGTATCAAACAAACTGAACGCTGTTGTCCAAAGGATCATTATGGTCCTGAATGCACACAGTGTGTAGGATTTCCAGATAACGTTTGTAGTAAGAATGGTAAATGTAAAGGTGCAGGTACAAGAAAAGGAAATGGTAAATGTCTTTGCGATAAAGGTTACAAAGGAGAAACATGCAATGATTGTGCACCTGGTTATTATCAATCTTATAGAGATGAGAATAAATTGTTATGTTCTACTTGTCATGCTGCATGCAATGGTTCTTGTTCAGGGCCAGGCCCTAAAGATTGCGAGATGTGTTCGAATGGATGGTATATGATTGACAAACAAGGCTGTTTCGATATTAATGAATGCTTAAAAAGTGATGAATATTGTCCAGGAAATCAATTCTGTGTCAATAAAGAAGGAGGATTTACATGTCTAGGTAAATTTATGAATCTATGAATTAGTATTAAGATGATGAAAGATTTGATTATTTAAAACTAATGTTTAATTAATGTTCTGCTATTTTTTAATTTGTAGGATGCGACAAGGCTTGCAATGGTTGTACTGGAGATGGTCCAGATATGTGTATTAAATGTGCTGACGGTCATCATAAAAAAGATAATTTGTGCATAAGTAGGTATTTTATTATTCATAAATGTTATTATTAATTAAATTAATTTGTTGAGGTATTAATAACTATTTGTATTTTTTAGATTCAGATCTTCTTGGTCGCAAAAGACACGAAAATTTTGCAAGATATGCAACTTATCTTGGTCTTTGCATAGCAACTTGTATAATTTTGCAACGGAATATTTATGCAGCTAGCGTTATAGGAATATTAGTTGCTGTTTATATATCAGTATCTGAATATATGATAGCTCATAGTAATATTCAAGATACAACAGCAAATATGGATATCTTAGGACCTGCTTGACTAAATCAAAATACATAACCTAAATATATATTAATTTTAATAAATATCATTTGTAATTTGTAACTTGTAATTGGTAATTTATAATTTGTATGAATATAATTATTTGTAATAATGTATAAGAAAAAATATTTATTAATAATCAAGGTTGTTATATATTAATAATTTCTTATTCTTTATTTTATTTTTAATTTGTTCTTTTCCATTAGCTTTTTATTTTATTTAAATTTTATCCTACAGATATTCAACACGATACATGATTCTATAATTTGGAATTATTTATTATCTGTTATTATCCAAAACGGATTTAATTAAAAAAAAAAACTGATGTGTGTACTTAAGTACGCACGTAAGAAGTTATACTTTTTTAGCATAACAAAACATTTTTTTTCGCAGCCTATATGCCTTATAACGTTCCACGTTTGTTTGTGATGGATACTTTCTTTTAGATACATTTTTATAATGATAGTAATAAGCATTATACTTCTCTGCATTAGTTTTAGAAATCTCAAAAATTGAAACAGAAATTTATATGTATACTGATCCTGGTTAAAAATATCAAAATATGAACATCAGTCCACACTAAATGTAAGAGTTATATCAAATTACTACATGTGCCAAAGGGTATGGCGCGGTGACAGCACAAGTTCCTGCTTGATCATTTATTTAAGTCAAGCAGCGCTTGAGTACAATTAGAACTTGGATGGGTGACCGCTTGAGAAAAATTTCAAATCATTTTGCCCGCGCATCGTAAATATCGACAACTTCGTGGTGTCGATTTTTCGATCGCATCGTAAAATTTACTCATCACTTTTTCCCAAACGCGCCAAAAGAAGTATACAACTCCAAAAATATATATTTACTAGATTATATAAACTAAACTTAATAACTAATATATAAACTACCCATAAAATAATAGTAAACTATATAAGTATATGTTTTTATAATAATTTATCTTTAAAAATAAGTTGACTACTATTTTGTACACTTAATAACCGCTAGATGGCGATGAAATATATAGTCTTCTCGAAAGTAAAAACTCCTAATGTAGATTATAAAAAATTTGGACTGGACATCGATATATCTATGCTTTACTTAATTAATATATCCATATTAAAATTTTTGGAAAAAGCTGCACGTGACTGCGGAGCTTTCCCCTCTGATTATCCAGTTAAAAATCATAGTACATTTCCTAGGATTAGACCAGTCAACAAGAGGCAAATAATAGCCCATAGCCCAGTCAATAAGAGGTGAAGGAAAAACTTTCAGGTAGAAGTTCTCGACAGTTT